ATCACTTATTATTTTCCTGGGTAACCCAAATCGAAGGGCGACTTCCTCCAAAAGAATAGTGGCACATTCTCTGGCCGTGGCTTCCTTTAAAGCAAATAGTTCTGTCCACTTCGTAGCACAGTCCTGCACAATAAAAATCCATTTTTCACCAGACGGTGTTTCAGGAAGGGGACCGAAAAGATCAATTGACAAGGTCTCAAAACGTTGAGCATAGACTGGAGTTTGAAGTAAGCCAGATGGCTTTTGATTAGTGGTTTCTCCCACTACTTTGAAGACAGTGTGATATTTGTTAAGCAATGCATCAGTTGCAAGCCGTTGGGCTGTAGTTAATTGCTGTCCTTCATTTTCTCGTAGTCGGCAGTTGTTTACAACAACTGGGGTTTCTTCCAGTACTTGGGATTGATGAGGTTTCACGAAGCTATATTTTCTTCGAGGTGCATCAGAAAAGTTCCACTTATTTTCAGCAAGATTTAAAACAATTTTAGCTTTTTGAAGAAAGTCAATTCCTAACAGAGTCGAGCTATTTTTGGCATCAGGCAATACAAGGAGCGGAGTTTTGAACTCTCTGCCTTCGAGAAGAATAATTTGTTCGGTGCGAAGTACCTCTTTTTCAGATACCAAACCATCAGCGAAAGACACCTCTAGTGTTCTCTTTTCAAATACTGCATCTTGTTTCTGCAGAATATGATAGAGGGATTCACTTGCAATTGAGTGACTAGCACCAGTGTCGGCGAAAGCTGTACCGGAAACACCACCAATACTAATTGGAAATACAGCAGTCCGAGTGGAAGATAAACAGGATCGGATTTGGATAGTGCGCCAAAATTTGATGAATTTGAAGTCTTTGGGGGGTTACAGTCTGGACATTTAGAACTTGATAAAACCAGTTTTTCCGCACCCATAGCATGTTAAAGGAAGGCCCGCTTTTCCTTCTGTTTGTTGCTGAACCACGATTTGAAAAGGTTTTTATGAGTTCCCTGTATGTCACCTGTTCGACTTGATTCTTCTACTTTGTGTTTGGATGGATTAGTCGGTTTGTAAGAATAGTTCCGCCTGCCAGGAAGTTCAGTTTTATAATTCGTATTTTTAACACGTACAGCTTCATAATCATCCAATTTCTGTACTAATTCAGATGAACTCTTTATTTTCCCCAAGTATCAATAAAATGCTCCTTAACGTCCCTACTGACTCTTCTTTTAAGCTGATCCGTCAGGACCAAGTCTTTGAGTGATTCAAAGTCTGTAACATCGAGACTATGGAGCCACTCTTCGAGATAATTGTTTAATTCGTAAGTAAAATCTTTCCATAAAGACCCAGGGTGTTTTTGGTGTGTAGTAAGTTTAATTCGAAATGATTCAGCATTTAATTTGAATCTTTGTAGCAGAATCCTCTTGATGTAAGAATAATCTTCTAATTTGTCTTTTGGTTCTCTTAAAATAATTTGCGAAATGTCTATAGGCAGAAGAGGTAGGAGATGAGTGATGTAATCTATTTGTTTTATATTAACTTTCTCACATTGTCTTTCAAAAATTTGCAGGTAGGTTGCAATGTCAGAAGTTCCTGTAAATTGAGGGATTAGGTGTTGAATATTTGTTCCAATAGCTGCATTTGAAGCAAAGGCGGCATAGTTAGGGTTTGAGCTAGCAGCTGCCAGGTTTAATTTTAAACGTTCCAATTCTAATAAAAGTTCTTGTTCTTTTCTTTGACGTGTCTCCAGATCGTTGCTTTCACGTTGTTTTTGTTGTCTAGTTTCGATTAAAGTTTCCAGAACATTCCTGGTAAAAGCCTCATCATAAGTGTCAGAATTGACAATAAGATTTTTAAGATCTATTACTCGCATAGTGTCGTTTACAGTGAAACCCAGTTCTGCAGCGAGAGTTTTTAAATCCTCTTTTCGTGCTTTGGCAAGGTAAGCCATAATTATATGAGAGGTCAGGGGGGGAGGGAAAAGATGAAGTTGAATTTGTTGTTATTTCGATTTTATTCACAATACAGTATTTTAGAATTAATAATTATACCTTTAAGTAAAATGTATATACCTCTATTAAACAGCATGTATGAATGTAAACAATGTTACTCGTACATTTATATACCACTATTAAACAGTATTTATAAATGTAAACAATAATAAACAATAATAAAGTTTATTATTTCGGAGTCGTAAAAATATCATAAAATGCCCTCATAAATTCAATTTGTATCAAGAAAATAACATATAATAAATTGCTGAAAAATTGTTTACTACTTAGCAAAACATACAAAACATACATAAATGTCTTACCATAAGCTTTTATATTTAAGCTGAATTCTTCGAAATCTTAATCTTAACAAAATATTAAGCTGATTAAGCAACACACACTTAGTAACTCTTTTACTTTATTTAAATATAGTCATTCGATTTTATTCATAATTATTTTCTTTCGCTTCAAGAAATATTTTTTAAGACATGCATTCATTAAATTGAAAACAATTATATTTACCTGAAGTAGTATATTATAATCATTTTCTCAAAATGTTCGTCGAAAGATAAATCAACAAGTACAATATTTTATTTTATGTAGAATAAAACATTTAATAAGGAACAACAACACTCAAAGGAAATAAAAATAATAAAAGATTTGACGTAAACACATCATAAATCATCGCTAGTCTAAACATTTCCGCGGGGGAAAACATCTGCTGCTGTAAATCAGAAGCGAAATTCTAATAAATTCTAATGAACAACGTCCATAAATATATTTAAACTTTAACATCAAAACATGTATTCAGTGAAACAATATTATTCACAAATTAATTTACTATGCGCATTAACATTTTAAAATAACAAATTACAATTCAAGAAATAACGTTTGGTTAACAGAAAGCCGTTTGCTTTCGTTTAATACTCTTATGTAGTATCAATAAATGAGATTTCAGTAAAGAATTTACATTTGCTTTAAGAAGCAGCTTATAATAAATAATCAGTTTAAAAGAACTTTAAACTCAGATTAAACGATAATGTAAACGAAACTTATCTTTTCCGTTGAAATTGTCCAGTTGATGATTCGATGTGCTAGCAGCACGGTATGACAATTTTAATTCCAGAATTGGTTTCCAGAATATTTGACCAGTAGTCCACACCTGAAAAGAAACTGAGCCGATCTCCAGCAAACTAAAGTTAAATTCGGGAGTAAGAGCTTGTTAAAGCCAAACAGAAATTCTAAACACTTTGTTGCGCCATTTTGGATTCAAATTTAGTTGGGCGCCAATGTGATGTAGCCGTTCCTCAATAGACACTAATGCCGGCTAGCTTTAAAAGGATTATTAACAGAGCACACAGGAACGGTTACAAACAAAAGAAATATACATAAAAAATGAAACATATACCAAATGGAACATCAAACATTGAGAATAACATAGCATAGTAAGCTATCATCATGGCGGCTGGAGGTCGACTGACGTTTTTTCATATCGCCACGAGATGGCGTTTAAATAAAATAGTTCGGTTACAGTTCATGAGTTCATGGCGTGAATAAAATAGTTCAATTACACTTAAATAGGTCTGTTACAAGATTGATTTTACTCAGTAATTTTTGGTTGGTGACCCTTCAAATATGGTAAGTGAAAAGTAACCTATTTTACTTTTTTACTATGGAAAAGGTAAAATTCTGTTGAAGCAAGGAAAGGATTATCCAATGAATGGAGACAATGTAATTGACAGAACGTCACTGCCACAATTGGTTTACAAAATTTTGATGCGGCAATTTTAATCTCGAACATGCACCACGTTTTGGAAGACCATGTTCTGACGACACAATAAAGGCATTAATTGATGCAAACCGGCGCTCGTGAGATCGCCAAGAGATCGACCGCTCATGGTAATTTGAAACGCCTACGTTTAATCTCAAATCTTGAGATATGGGGTCCTCACGGTCTTAGTTGTCCATCAGCTTCAACTGACTTTCCAGAAGGTGGTGTATCTTCGAGACCAAAATTGCCGAATCGATATTTTGCAAATCACTTTTGGCATTGGCGTTCTGTCAATACATCTTCTCCATACACATGGGGTAATTTGTTTTCTTGCTTGAACAGCATCTTTGCCTTTTCGATAGTAAAAAAGTAAATCTGCCGAAAATGTTGCGTTTCACCTACCATATCTGGTATCTGGTATCTTTCACCAACCAAAATTTACTGCGTAGAATCAATCGAACATATTCACAAACAAGACTTGCTACATCTGCTGTCAAAATATAAGATGATTAGTAAGTGTGAAGTTGGCGGTGAAAAAATACAATTAAGTCTTCTGTTGAGAAAAAAACGAAATTATTCTCCGAACAACCCAATAATAAAAAAATCTGATGTGTACACCACATGACTTTCTTGTACGGAAATTAAATTATACGCATTTTTTCTTGCATTTCATTTAAACTTATTGAATTAAATCTACTTCGTCGACAGCGCATAAACCACAATAGAATAAATGCATTCTTTAAAATTTACTCTAGTATTTGTTTACCATAGCGGCACTCTGGCGCTAGATTCACTTAACAGTATTAATAATTATACTACTCGTTTTTGAGGCATGCGAGATACGTAAGTACGCACGTACGCACGTACGTACGTACAGATGTCACGAAAAATTATCTTCAGAATTAATTTTAAAGCAGTTTTATAATATTTTGAAGGAAAAGAGTATTTTATTCTGTCCTTACGTATCACGCAAAAACACACTTACAGATATCACCCAAAAACATCGTTTTGCATTCGATAGCGGTCAAAATGGATATTTTCGTTGAAATATGCTGCCTGAAACTTTTCGCGATTACAATACTTCCTTTTTACTTCGTACAAGGAAGTAAAAAGGTATGCTTAAAGCTGTACAGAAAACTTCTAAAGTTTCAGAGAATTCTAAAATTGTTGAAAAATTATAAAATAAAAATATCATATAGTAATCGTATCTCTTAGAAAACTTAACCATTCATTTCATGAATTTCTGTGCAATGAAAGTTTGTTTTTTTCAGAGACTAGAGAATGCATTGTTAAACAGAACCGAGTGTAACATATTCATTGTCAACTGGAATACCGATGTCAGGCAGCCTTATGAAAAGGCTATTGCTAACATACGGGTAGTAGGTGCAGAAGTTGGATTCTTTATGCAGCGTATAGTAAGTTAATATTAATTTCATCGTAATCTTACGTTTTAGTTTTGCCATAACAATGGAAAATAACATAATTTTTATACTCCTATTGCTATATAAATTTAGAGAACCACAGTGAAGAAATGCCTTATGTAATTCAATATGATCAATCAGCCTTTCTCTATTTAGAAACAATAAGATTAAAATAATTTAGATCATTGAGATAAATTAAAAATATTTACATATAATAGCCTATCAATATATTATCATGCATGTAGTTCAGCATGATCGCATGCATGAACTACATGCTCGCATACAGTTCAATTATAGTGAAAATTCTTGGTATTAGAAATGCTGGAGGAAACGTTAAGGTTTTATATTTTTCTGGCGACTGTTCCACTGAGATTCATTATGCAAACCTAAATTTCATTAATACTTAATGCACTTATAACTGTATTTTCCATAGTTCTTGAAATTTTAGAGACTAACACACAGTTTTACTGAGATGCGACTTATATCAAATATTTTAGACAATGTTTTCTGTAAAGCCACGTCTCATTCATATCATCGGCCATGGACTTGGTGCACATGCTTCCGGATATGCTGGTAAATGGTTCCATGACAGAGAAGAACTGTTAGTTGGTAGAATTACTGGTAAGTTTTTATTTGCTGTTGATTTACATTATAATATTGTTGCGTGCGTACGGATTCGTTAGAATGCCCAAGTCCGATGAAAAATGAACAAAAATTTATTATTATCACAACAAAATGCTTAAATTTTCTCAAATTATCATGCAGTATTACAGTATTACACAGCAGTTATCTTTTAACTACTCAAATGTCCAATAGAACGTAATTCAAAACAGCTAAAGAACGCTAATCCGCGAATTCGCTACAATCAACAAGAGCAGTTTTCTAAACAACAACAAACTAAGCAACTACTACGAACTGAGATGCTTTCCTCCTTTTATAAGATTTTAAAAATCACGCGCTAGAATTTTCCAGTACTTTCTCGAAATCAAAAAGAGATATTTATTTATTTAATGCACGCGCTCTTGTATTTTCAATTTTCCGGCTTAGCTTTCTTTTAATATTCGTCACGCGCTGCACTGCGCGAGAAATAAAACCATTTAATTTATAATTGAACTAACATTAGCTTTTTAAATACGAAATTTGTAACACTGCCCTCTTCCCAAGGACTGCACGTCTCGGGCAGTACTATCCCTGGACAGGAAGCTAAACTAACAACTGTGGCATAAATGCAACTGAGGCATAAACATTACATTACAGTATCAAACAACATGAACAATAAATGCAATAACTAACTTAATCAAATGCTAAATGCATATCAAATACTAAATACAAATCAAATCAAATACACATTTAAAAACAAAAAGGACCATGGTCTTATACTATTTACAATTATTTACATTACGCACTATGGCCATAGTAATGAGCTAACCTGTCGTAATGAACGACTTTAGGTTTAGAGTTCGAAGACTTACGGATCCGAACCACGACGTCATTCAGTCTGTTTAGGACCGTGTACGGACTATCCCAAGGTGACTGTAATTTCGGACAAAGTCCTTTCCGTCGGGTCGGATTCCACAACCACACCTTGTCTCCTTCGTGGAATTGATGTTCAGTAGCTCTTATGTCGTATCGGGTCTTCATCTTCTCCGTCGCCAGGTTGACTCGCTCTCGTGCAAAGTTGTGCATCACCTCAAACCGGGCCTGGAGATCTTGAATATATATTCCTCAGACGATGAAGGAGCATCCGGAGGGCGACCAAACAATAGATCACAAGGCAGACGAAGGTTACGACCGAAGAGCATTTGTGATGGAGAATAGCCGGCAGTCTCATGGACAGCACTGCGGTAAGCCAGTAAAAAGAGTGGTATTGTCCCAGTCCTGTTGGTTTCTGGAAACCACTAAGGAGAGGTTATTAAGGATGGTTCGACTGAACCTCTATACCATGCCGTCCGACTGGGGATGCAATGGCGTAGTTTGAGTTTTGTCAATGCCGAGTAGTTTGCATAGTTTGATTACTGACGAGGCAAAATTCCTTCCCTGATCGGAATGTAACTGAAGAGGCACTCCGAACCTGGAAATTCAGTGCTGTATCATTACATCAGCTATTGTGACAGCCTCTTGATCAGGAATAGGATAAGTTTCAGGCCACTTGGTGAAGTAATCGATGACAACGAGTATGTATTTGTTGCCATCAGCAGTTCGCGGCAGAGGTCCCAGGATGTCAAAGGCGATACGTTGAAAAGGCGTCCCTACGTTGTAACGTTGCAGCTTGCCTCGGCTGCGTTTTCTCGGTCCTTTACGACCTGCACAGGCATCAGTTTTGCACATCATCCTTTGCATTATTCCAGTAAAAGCGCTCACGAACTCTCTGTAAGGTCTTCATAATTCCAAAGTGACCTCCTGTAGGGCTGTTATGTAGTTCTTAAGGGCATCAGGAATCCGGGATCTTGGAAGTATAAGTTGCCATTGGAACGTCTACCCATCATCCGATTCGAATTTTCGGTATAAGACGCCGTTTCGAATGTGAAGTGAATCCCAGAGTGCCCAGTATTGTTTTGTGGTAGGACTACAGATAGAAATGTCCTGCCAAGTAGGTTTTCTGTTTGATGACTCCATTAAATCAATTATGGGTTTAATGTCGCGGTCTTCCAGCTGGTCTTTCCCGACTTCATCATCACTCCACGGATCTCGATCAGCCGATGTTGATGTTGTAATTTGTCTTGCGACCGGAGTCAGCACCTCGTATTTTGCTTCCACCCTGGAACAATATCGGCAGCTTTCTGAGCAAAGTCGTCTAGACAGGGCGTCGGCGTTCCCGTGTGATGATCCCTTACGATGACAGATAGTGATGTCATATTCTTCGAGTCTCTGTATCCACCTGGCTATTTGACCCTCAGGATTCTTGAAATTTAAAAGCCATGCCAATGAGGCATGATCCGTGCGGAGGAAGAATTTTCTGCCATATAGATAATGATGGAAATGTTCTACAGCTTTGACTATGGCGAGCAAATCTTTCCTGGTGACACAGTAAATTCCTCTCGGTTTAGACAGGCATTTCTCCAGTACGCTATACGCTACACGTTTCTGGCCGTCTATTTCTTGGAACAAAACCGCACCGACACTTTCATTGCTCGCGTCCATGTCGAGAATAAATGGTCTGTCGAGCTGAGGATACGTCAGGATTGGAGCAGATGTTAAAGCTTCCTTTAAGTTGTTAAATGCATCCTCGCATTCTTTTGTCCACAAGAATGTTTGCTTGCTGCTCTGTCAGCTTGTGAAGGGGTCTTGCGATGGAAGAAAAAGTCCTTCAAGAATCTCCTATAGTAGGTGCAGACCTAGGAAGCTTCTCAGCTGATGGACATTTTCGGAACGTTTCCAGGATTTAACAGCTGATACCTTTTCAGGATCCGTGCGTACACCTTCTGCAGAGATGACATGTCCCAGGTAAGTCACTTCCTTTCGGAACAATTTGCATTTAGCGGGACTCAGCTTCAGATTAGCTTCTTTCAATTTCTGAAGCACCTTCGTTAGATTTTTAAATGTTCTTCAAAATTCTTTCCGACGATGATGATGTCGTTCCGGTATATCAGGCAGGCTTCGTAGGAAAGGCCTTTCAAAACAGTCTCCATAACTCCATAAGACGTTCGAATGTTGCCGGCGCATAACACAGTCCAAACGGCATCACTTTGAACTGCCAAAGTCCTTGTCCCGTAGTAAATGCCGTCTTTTCTCGGTCATCAGGATGGATTTCTATCTGCCAATACCCACTCTTTAAATCAAGTGTTGAGAACCCACTTGCTTCCAGAAGAAGGTGTCTAGAATGTCATCAATTCTAGGAAGGGGGTAACTGTCTTTCTCGTAACCTCCCACTCTTTAAATCAACTCAGATTTGTTCCGAAAGAGTGTCTAGAATGTCATCATCAGGAAAGGAAGAGGGTAACTGTCTTTCTTCGTAACCTCATTCAACCGGCGATAGTCAACGCAAAAATCTTGTGGGCCGTCTTTCTTTCTGACGAGAAACGATGGAGATGCCATGGGACTCGCTGAAGGCTCGGACTCGCCTTCTTCCATAATCGGTTCGATGACATCGCTTCTTCCTGTGTTCGCAGTTAACAGTGGATGTTGCTTGATCGGGGGCTGATCGCCGGGGGTAACTATTCTATGGTGTGTCTAATCGGGGTAAATGTGTCAGAAAAAAAGCGACCATCAGGACGAGCGGACAGCGAGAAAACAAAACTTGAAGATCTTTAATGACGCGTCTTAATCGGGCGATCGGCAGCATTCTTCTCTTCATCGTTCAATTGCGCATTCTGCAATAGTTTTATTTCTTTAAAGTTTCCATTTCTTTGGCAACTGCAGAAACTCCCTCATCAATTTGTTGTTCGATTTGGTGTTGGACGGCACAAACTCTTCCTTCAGTTCGTTCCTACACAGCTGAAACTCTCCCTTCTATATGTTCTTTTACAGAAGAAACTCTTTTTTCTATTTCTTCTTTCACCGAAGAAACTCTTTCTTCAATTTGATCTTTTACGAAAGAAACTTTTTCTTCAATTTGTCCAACTTTATTTTCAACTGTGTCAGTTCTGCTTTCCATAGCTTCAAGTTTATTTTCTATTATGCAGGTAATTTCTCTTTTCATTTCTTCTTGACATGCTTCAATCTTTTCTTGACCAGCTTGAACGGCTTTCATTTCGTCCTTAACGGATTCCTGGCCCAATTTCATTTCTTCCTTAACGAATTCCTTGCCCAATTTCATTTCCTCTTTAATTTCTTCTTTAAATGAGGCAAAGGCTGATATTAAACTGCCTTAATTGCTCTTCCATCGCTCTTGTTATTGGCATTCAAACCCCACTCCTGACACCAAAAAAATTGTTGCGTGCGTACGGATTCGTTACGAAATGAATGCCCAAGTCCGATGAAAAATGAACAAAAATTTATTATTATCACAACAAAAATGCTTAAATTTTCTCAAATTATCATGCAGTATTACAATATCTCACAGTAGTTATCTTTTAACTACTCAAATGTCCAATAGAACGTAATTCAAAACAGCTAAAGAACGCTAATCCGCGAATTCACTACAATCAACAAGAGCAGTTTTCTAAACAACAACAAACTAAGCAACTACTACGAACTGAGATGTTTTCCTCCTTTAATAAGATTTTAAAAATCACGCGCTAGAATTTTCCAGTACTTTCTCGAAATCAAAAAGAGATATTTATTTATTTAATGCACGCGTTCTTGTATTTTCAATTTTCCGGCTTAGCTTTCTTTTAACATTCGTCACGCGCTGCACTGCGCGAGAAATGAAACCATTTAATTTATAATTGAACTAACATTAGCTTTTTAAATACCAAATTCGTAACAATATAATTTCATTAAAATATATTTTACTCATAAATAGTTGCTATACATAAACAATGTGTTATTCCACTGATTGATTTTTGACACAAATTTATCCCTTAGTTTACAAGGATCAACTTAGATAATGCAAAATATATGCGAACAAGTATTATCATTTGCAATGTGAGAGAGCAATCATAATTCATATAATTATTAATGGCTAAATAAAATGTAATCTTAACAAAACTATTTGGATTCGCACAGTAATAAAGGTTATTACATATTTATAATTTCTTCTTAGGTTTAGATCCAGCAGGCCCCTTTTTCAATGGCGTGGAAAACATTGTAAGATTAGATAAAGGTGATGCAAGCTTCGTTGACATCATCCACACCAATATGGACGGACAAAGCTTGAAAGGTATATTGATTTACTAATAATAGAAAAAATTCCCTTAGGTCTTTTATTAATTCAGTGCTAACACAGTTTATCCGGTCTCCAGATATCCAGAATTCCAAACGTCCTAATTGCAGTAGTTATTCTTGTACTTTTCCTAGTAATTTTATTATTCTTTGAGGGTAAAAATGCGTGTTAGACATTAGTTTTAAAGCGATGCTTAAATAATAAATAAAGCACATCATAAAGCACACATAGACATAAATTATTATTATATTATACATTTCAAACAGCTTATTTTAATAATATTCCTTTTATTCCTTTTAATAATATTCCTTGTCTGTGCATACAATTTACATTATTACCAAAAATCAGAAGTTTCTAAATCATACGCTGAAACATATGTGGGGAGATATGAAGTAAGTAACCAGTATTTGCTTTTCTCTAAGGCCTAGAAATTTAAGTTCATTGTTATTTCTATACTTTAAATTTTGAGATTAAATGTGTCTACAATCATCTAAAATACGTGTTACTTTTTGGGGTCCCTTTACGTTATGCTACCAGAATATTTAGGAATTTATCAACTAATTGACCGACTTATAAGCAATATATTTCCTTCTTAAGAATTATATCTTTAATTTCTTAAGAACTTTAATTATATGTACTTGTTGTATATATATAAGGTCAGTAAAATTCCTTATTAGAGCTTTATTTGCGCAACGGTTGGGCGCAGAAGTACACTTCCAGTTACAAAACTATTCTATATGACGGAAATATTCATGGTTGGCATTTTAAAACTTACAAATGCTAATTTTTTAAAATAATGAAATTACATTTTAAACAAAAGAAAAAGCAGAACTGCTAAAATTCTTTGCAAATTTAAAAGCAACGTCTGTAAAATAGGAGCTTAAGTAAAGACAAAATTAAGAGGAAACTTATTTATTCAGAACAAAGTAGTTAAAAATAAAATAAGTAAGAATTTAAAATAGTAATTAATGCAGAAAAATTTCCAGATTGATGAATCAAACCACAGAAAAAGTTTTAGCCTATAAATAGCTTAAAAATTATCAACAGGAAAATAAAAATACTGTGCCTTAAATTGAGAAAATAAAACTTAATTAATTAATTTGGAGGGAATTTGAAATAGGTAAATAAGAAAATTAATGATACAGGAAACAAAAATGTAGCAAAAATCTGCACGTTTGTTTCACATGCGACTCTTGATAATGTAATCTAAGAAATCTGATGTGTACACCACGTGAGTTCCTTGTACGGAGTATTAACGCAATTTTCCTGCATTTCATTTAAACATATTGATTTAAACAGTTAACGAATTGGAATTAAATCTACTTTGTGCATAGCGCATAAACCACAATAGAATAAAATTGCTCTTTAAAGTTATAAATGCACATTTATTTACCATAGGTACACTGCTCAAAAAAAAAAAAATGGGACAGTGCTATATCTCACGTTCTACTGGGGCGATTCACGAAATTCAAATTGCGTTCTTCATGTCTCGAAAGCGCGACTTAGGATATATATTAGATTTATATATAGCACTATTCTAACATAGGTATTTTGGCACAAAATCGGACTTTTTCTGAAATAACATACCAATGTTTTTACATATTTCGATTTTACGACTCAAATTATGCCAGAATACCAAGTTTTGTAAAAATCGTACGAGTAGTTTTTAAAATATTACCTCTCAAAATATTAGCTCCTCAATGTTAATTGAATTTGGCAAATATTTATTTATATCTCTTTTTTATTAAACTTTTTTGATTTTTTCTCTCCACATTTCGAAATTTAGGTTCATTCCAAATAAAATTTACCCATTTTTTGTGTTTTATTTTTTAAATTTCTATTTTTAAATAATTTTTTATAAATTTTTCGAAAAAAATTTTGAATTATAACCTATAAAGTTTTTACCATCATCTTAAAGTAGGTATACTTTTAAGCATATCTTCAAAAAATTAGACTTTTTTATTCAAAATTTTCTAAGATATACACAAATTTACATATTTTCGCGTTTTGAAAATTGGCATCTTTTTTTTGAGCGATAATAACGCCAAATGTGGTCTATGGATTTTTGTTACACTGTATTGCCACAGCTATTTTTAACCTTAAATTTCAAGTAAAATTTTACGGAGAATTAATTATATGACATTTTATTCCCTCAATGATGCGTAATAAATATTTATTAATACTATATGAAAAGCTATTTTTTACTTTAATTTTAGATGATATTATTCAATATTTTTAACTTTAAATTTCTAAAATTTCTTTTTTTTTTTTTTTTTTTTTTTTTTTTAATAAGAGTAAATTTTTGTAAGAGTAAATTTTTACCTTCGGCGTTTTATCGTCTGCTACTTTACTTCGTTTAAATCGAATTGTCTAAAACTGAGAATTTTTGTTTGATGTTTATTTGAATTTTATGACATTAACTTCACAATTTATTTCTAAACAAACTGATGCTTTTGAAGGGGGGCTGAAAAAGCGGCTGGTACTATCATCCATATTTTTAAAGCACACTATATTTTTATAGTAACATAAGATTTAGAATAATCATTTTTATAAAAGTCAAATTATGATATAAATATACAACCCTCTAGAAACTGAATAATGGAAGTTCAATGGTTATGTTGAAATGATCTGCAGCTACTTAATCGCTGGATAAGTCAACAGATTCCGTAGACAAGTAAGAATAATTATATAAATGACACCCAACATTCTGAATTCAATTAAGAACGAGGATACGATGTTTATTAAATGAATTCAAGAAATTTTAAAACATAAAAAAATCAACTCATTTTTTATCCTAAAATGTATTTTTGTGCGTAGCGTATTTTCATTATTCTAATTTAAAATTCTAATAATTCTTAAAATTCTAATTTAGAATGTAATTGTCAAGAACTGATTCCTAATCATCAGTAATATAATAACTAATTGTTGCGGTTATTAATAAATCCTTCTTATAAAGTAATTGCAAATATTTCAAAAAACTGTCTGAATGCAAATATTTTTCTGCGCAAATATTAATTTTATATTAATCAAGATTGCACACGATATTATTTATTTGCACTTCAATTCTTAACGTCAGTTCTAGTAGAAGTTACAAATCAATTATATTTAATTAAGGATTGGATTGGATTATTTAATTATGGCAAAGCACACGAGGGCTATCTGCCTAAAGGGAGGGATGCCTTCGGGGAGGACTTTCTAAGGGAAACTGGCTCGTATACACGTTACACATCGGGAAAACCACGAAAACACCCATGCAACCAGCCCGTTTGCGGGATTCGAACCTCGGATCGAACTACCAGTGTTCAGCGACTTTACCGCTCGGCCGTTTGTGAGCCTTTATGAAATGGAAGGCGATAACTTTATTTAAAATGATTGTCAGAAATACCAAAATGTTTCGTAAAGTTGGATACTTTTTAATATACTTTCAGAATGCTTAAAGAAAAAGAGAAGAAAAATAAATTTTTTCGTAAAATTTAGTATTTGTATTTTTTTTTAATTTAAAAACTTTTCAATGTTATGATATTTGATTCTTGCGATTTCAAAAATAAAATATTTGATTAAAATATAAAATAACATTTTTAAGAAACCAAATGTAGGATAAAATTGTGTAAAGCAATGGGCACAATGATAAAACTGTTTAAAGCAGTGTATGCAAGTCATCCTAAGTTAAAATGTCGGTTATACATCTCTCTTATTTATATATATCTTTTCTGAACGGAACATTGAAAGGCGTGTAAAACTGTGCTTTACTGTATTTTCTCTTTTAATACAGTATGCAGTTTTCAAACTCATCGTAGTCTGAGTTACAAAGTATTCTTCCGAAAGAAACGCAATTCAAATAAATAAAATCAAATTCTGGAAAATTGATATTAATAAATGTATTTAAAATGCTCAGTTCGAAGGAATAAATAGAAAAATTTAAAAAAATTATCTATAGAGACAATGCAACACAAACAATTAAAATAAAAGTATAAAAATTTAAAAATTACCTAAAATAAAACTATGGCGAAAAATATATATAAAGAAAACTATTTCAAAAAAATAAATAAATAAATAAAAATTAACGCTGCACCTTTATTTACGCAGTTCGAATAGGTAAATAGAAATTTTTTAAAACAGTTATTCGAAAAAAAAAAAAAAAAAAAAAAAAAAAAAAAAAAAAACGTGCAACTTAAACAATTAAAATGAAATTCGAAAAAGAAAAAAATTACTTAAAATAATAAGTTATAATTAAAAATATAATATAAAGAATACTATTTGGAAAAAAGGAACGATGGTGACTTTTTTTCCTCTCACGGGAAAGGAAACTAGGTTGCCATATATTAAGTTCGCGAAGTGAAGTATTCTTGGCGCAAACTGACAAAAAAGTGCCAACATAAATTTGTGAATTTCTCCGTAAATTTCGCTCCAGATTTTACAAAATTTCATATTTAGGCGTAATTTGAGTCGTAGAATCGAAATATGTAAAAACATTGGTATGTTATTTCAGAAAAAGTCCTATTTTGTGTCAAAATACCTATGTTAGAATAGTGCTATATATAAATCTAATATATATCCTAAGTCGCGCTTTCGAGACATGAAGAACGCAATTTGAATTTTGTCAATCGGCCCAGTAGATCGGGAGATATAGGACTGTCCCATTTTTTTTTTTTTTTTGAGCAGTGTACATTTTGGCGCTATGGTAGCGACATTTCGCTAAATTCACTTAACAGCATTATATCTCATTTGTTTTATACCTCAAAGTGCACAAAAATTAAACCATCTGAAGAATTACCACAATTTCTATTCAAATACTATAACAAATCTAAAACGATGTATAAAAGAAATTAAACAAATAAAGAACGAAACAATTTTTCGTACACGATTCAGCGCCGCTTACCTAATGCAGCGAAAATGTTGTTGAAAAATCTATTAAATTTCTAAAGGTCCACACAATAAATCTTTTTAGGCAGCCGGGGTGGTGTGATGGCGATAAGGAGCGCGCCTTGCGCCCTCCG